GATGCTGCGGGCAAATAGGCGGGGGGGGGTAGACTTAGAGTTACTGAGTGGGGCTAAGGGTGTGGGATTGCGTTTGGAATTTAGAATTTAGGAAGTCAGGGATTCGAACTGTTGGATGACAGGTGGGGCCAGAATTCTGGGATTCGGGCATGTGCAAGTACATGTTAAGAAGTCGGTATAAACTCAGGCTTGTACAGTACAGAATGAGGATAAAAATTGCGCAAGCCCAGCACTACATCCGGAATGTATCTGGGTTTCAACCGCAGCCCAGACGCTGCAGAAGTGGCGTGCCTTCCGCAATGCGCAGACCGTCCCCTGCGTAGGGTTCGAGGGATTAGGGAAGACTGTTTGGCAGCATATGTCCTCAAAATACAAGTTAGGATTTGCTACACACTCAAATTCTCGAGCTGGTTGCACTCGCACTTTTTGACAGCATACGCCCAGAGCCAACCATGCCCAGGCTCTGATCCCCTAAGCCCTGGCGGAACCTGCGGTGAAGCCGAAGCGAAGCGATGGGTCCCTGCCCTGCAGCCTCAGATGTCAAAACATCCAGGCTTGAGGACAGGCTGAAAGACTGGGGGCTCCTGCTTGGTTATCTTGAGCTGGGGCGATCATACAGCCATACAACCTCGGCTTTGGGATTCTACGATTCTGTCTTCTGTTGGGGGATGTGATCTGTCGGGCGTTCTTGACTTGACACGGGCTTGGGATCGATGCTGGGCTTGGGTGTTGCATGGCGCTCTTCAGACCCTTACGCTTTCACGGTCAAAGGTTCCAGCAACAGAAGATTCTGCAACCCAAGCCCAAACGAGCCACAAGCCTACAGCCTGAAATCCTGCGGCCTCAAACTCTCAAACCAGCAACTAGCATGGATAGTAGGGAACAAAGGAGTGAAGCCACAATGGCTCGTCGTACAGGTGTGCGATAATTATTGCTACGGTTCAATATCGCACTCACCAACGCGTGCACTGTTAAACCCGCCGCAGAAGCAGTGGCGCCGCAGTCATCTTGCCATCCACCCAGCCACCTTCCTTGAGATACCACTAAAAGGAAAGAGAAAAACGTCGCCGCTCTATTGATCCACAAGTAGGGTTGATTGCTAGAGAACCCGCTTCAGGTCTCTGCAGTAGAATATTCAAATGTGGTCCTCTTGGGCCTCAGGGTGCATGACACATTGGGTTCCGCATTGTGGTAGAAACTAAAATCTTTGTGTTTTGAAATTCAGGCTTTAGTTGCGCGGGCTTTGCTTACCCAAAGCCCTGAGCTGTTAAAGGCCCAAACCGCTAACCTTGAAGTTTCAACCCTTGCTCGTGCTCTGCCCCCAACCCTTAAATCCCCCAACCTTACATGCTGGGATTCTTTACAGTATCATGCCTTGCCTGTGATGATACCGTCAGGCCCAAGAGTAGTTACAGCTTGGATTGTAAGACCTGCAGCTGCGCATGTGTACTTCTGACGTTGTCTGAGGTACCTGCCAGCTGCGTACTTACAACTGTCCGTAACCTGCCAAGTAAATTGTCATAGTCTGGCGAACATGTCAACCTCCAGAAGGCATACGCATTGCTCCAAAAGGGGTGATGGAGGCGAAGAACCGCATCACACCATGAATCCACAGCCAAGGTACATTCTCTGCTATGGAACCTGCCCGGTTCCCGTGCTCAGAAGCCTTGAACCTCCTGAGCGGTGGTTCAGAAGCGTGGATAGTACAGAACTGAAGGTTTAGGCCTGCAAGCACCGGCTTCAGTGGTAAAGTTACAAGGCATGCCTCCCACCCAAAAGCATGCATGAACTGATGGGGTTTGTCGTTGGCCTCCCTGATTCAGTCAATACTATGTCGCTGGATCCTCATTCGCCTGACCTCTAAGCCCCAAATCCGGAATCCTAAAGTCCGAAGCCCCTAATTCCCTGACCGCTTGAGCCCTGAACCTTACTCCTAACCAAGGAATGGTCGGCCCAAGTGCTTGCCATCCTCAGTTTTCTCCATGCCAAGCCGTTCCTGGACAGACAAGCCATAAACAGGAGGCCTGTTGGGCTTCGTGTTCATGGCTGAAGGTAATAGAATTCGGGCTGCAATGCCCAGCATTAGCGCTCTTTGAACCCTGAGTCCTTCGTTGCCGAGATAGGGATGGATTGCAAGCGAAGCTTGTTGACATCTGTGCAAAAATGTGGATGATTAAGTTAATCAATTTCAAGCCCAAGATGTAGGACGTAGCTGGCGCACATGGTGGGTGTGGCTAAAGGTTGCTCATGCGTGTGGGAGCCCAGACAGCCTCCAGACTCCAGATTGGGGTCAGTGACCAGTGCCGCGGGCTGTGAAACCCTAGACTCAACCAAAGAAAACGGTTGACGGCTTCCGGCAGGGAAACCAGCCCTCATGGAGAAGACGTACCCAAAAAAAGTGCATGCATCTTCCAAGTACCAAGGTCTAGGGTTTCAGGGTGTAGGCTCTAAACGTTGAGGGTAACTGCATAGCTTGCAGCTTTTGGCCTGAAGCTCTGGACCTGACCTATTCAGAAAACCATCCGCTCTTTGAGAAAGAGCCATGGTCAATTTCGTCATGAACCTTGGCAAGAGTTTTGCAGACGTCAACCCTGAGCCCTAAGCCCCTCAACCTTAAAGCTTTACCTACCAAAAAGCTGCCAGCCAAGTCACAAGCTTCTGCTGCTGGGCCGACACAAGGCTGGACCTACCTTGGAGGCTTAGGGCGGGTCTGAGAATTGAGGTTGAGGGCTTCGGTATCTCGGGATTTTGGTTCGGCTTTAGGGGTTCAGGGGCTCCGAGATCGGATTCCCTGGCACAAGTGCTCAGGACCTAGGATCCGGAGTGGGATTTCGATAGAACTCCGAGTTGGGGTGTTGACTGCTGTAGGTTCTGCTGATGCCACTACCGCAATGCTCTCCAGCACTCTTGACATCCCCAACCTCAACCTGCAAAACCTTCGAACCTCACGTCAAACCCTTGGCCCAGACCGCAGAGCCTGGACCCCATACCCCAACTCAACAACCAAGAGATGTTCCCAGGATGCTGGACAGGCACTTTTGCCTTCGAAGCCCTCCCGCAGGTGGGCAAAAGATAGCAAGAAAAATCCGTCCGCGTTGCAAGGACATGAGGTATAGGATCAGGTCCCCTCATGCCCGGTATAAGCCTCTCAAACAAATACAAGAAGCTGGAGGGCCAAGAGGCCATTGGGACGCAGAGCTGTCGGGATTTACTGTTAACTCCAAATGCCTCAACTTGCAACATCCCAAAAAATCCGAGAAGCTTCGGAAGCCGCTATCTGCAGAATCTGAACACCCCAAGGATATGAAGGATCCCGACAATCACATCCGACCTTGCCCCGACAATCCCAATAAGCATTCCAATAGAGTGCCTGCTGCTCTATGGGCCTAAAACAACAAAGGCCAAATACAACGCCCCTGTTAAACCTTGATGCTTTTCACTAAAGCCTACACCTGCTAGACAATGAGGC